AACCAAACAGAACTAAGTTTAACACACCAGACTAAGTTAAACACACAGAATAGTTAACACACAGACACTAGTTATCACACACACTCACACAACCACACACACATACAAACACACAAATGCACATACGAACACACATATACACACACAGCGGAGGGGGGATGTCCTCGTTAGGGGAAACCCCGGCTCTGCAGGAATCTCTCTGGCTCGGTTGCCATGGAGACAGGCTCCACTGCAGGGGAGTTTGTGTGTGTGTGTGTGTGTGTGTGTGCAAAGCTAGATGGAACTGAGCATGTGCAAAGAGGGGGGGGGGGGTTATGTAATAGGGAAAAATCTCCTTGGAAACGGGGAGAGGAGAGGAAAAGAGGAAGGAAGAGGAGAGGGGGAGGATGAGAGAAGAGGAGGAAGGAAGAGGAGAGGGGGAGGATGAGAGAAGAAGAGGAAGGAAGAGGAGAGGTGGAGGATGAGAGAAGAGGAGGAAGAGGAGAGGGAGAGGATGAGAGAAGAAGAGGAAGGAAGAGGAGAGGGTGAGGAGGAGAGAAGAGGAGGAAGAGGAGAGGGAGAGGATGAGAGAAGAAGAGGAAGGAAGAGGAGAGGGGGAGGATGAGAGAAGAGGGCAGTAAGAAGGAAGGCGAGAAGAAAAGGCAGAAAAATGGGATGGAAGGGAAGAGGAAGGATAGAAGAAGGAGGGAGGGATAAAAGATATAGAGGGAGGAGAGGAGAGCGCTGCCACTCACAGGTCAAACAAAAGGTAGTGGAAGCCCTCCTCTGATATACTGTCATGGAGACGAACTAGAGAGAGAGAGAGAAAGAGAGAAAGAGAAAGAGAGAGAGAGAGAGAGTGGGGGGGGGGGGGGGGGGGGGGGGGGGGGAGAGAGATGGGTTGAGAACAATCAGCAGAAAACATATTCTCTACTGTATTCCTGTGCTGCAGCCCCAGCTGCAGAGAGAGAGAGTTTCAGGTACTGACCGATATTGGAGTGTTTGAGCAATCTGCAGATCCTGGCTTCCCTCTCCAGCTTCTGGTGATCTGAGGAGAGAATAAGAAGATATAATCTTGATACAATGATATCATAATATGGTACAATATGATCTATCATATTATCATTACCACAACAGGAGGATATCAGAGGTTTGCTATAAGTGTATTCAACAGGAGGCGAGAAATATTTTAGAATATGAAGTCCCCATCAATATACGCATTTGCACGCACACACACTTGCCCACACACACAAGGGTTGTAGATATAGTAGATACCCTGAGGGTTTCAATTGCCCCATATTAACTCCCCTTACTATAGCTTCAGATGATGGAGAGATGGAGGGACAGAGGGAGAGGAGTAGAACAGAGGAGGGTAGAGATAAAGTATAGATATGTGGTATGGAGTATGGGCCTGAGGGTACACACTTAGTGTGTTGTGAATTCTGTAATGAATGTATTGTAATGTTTTGAAATAAAGAGGAATCAATGTTGGCACACACAACCTATTTTAGCCCATAGGGAAGTGTATGTAAATAATCCATACATATCCCAGATGTTAGGTCCTGTCAGAGGTCAGCTCCACCTCCTTACATTCAATCCAGTGGTTCTCACACCAGGGTCCATGGACCACCACCAGTCCCTTGATGTGGCTGGCTGTTCCCTGACCATTCCCTCAGATGGTCAGCTGGCACCAATTTAGATTGATTGAAATGGGGAGATAGAGGAGAGGGACATAGTGTGGTCCAGAAGCGCTACCACTAGACCAGCCCCCGGTACCTTAAACTCATTTCAACGTTCTTTTTTTCTTTACACAAAAGGTTAAGAAACCCGGTTTCTAAACTGTGTGTTTCCCTCTACTCCAAGGTGACCTCCCCAAGTATCCAGCTGCAGCACAGCGCTCTGCAGTATCTGACCTATTAACAGTAGATCAGTGTTGTACATTGTGGGTGCCAGTGTAATACAAGATCTACTGTGTCAGGTTACACTGTCAGGAAGTCCCACAGCAAACTTAGTAATGGGTACTATAGCTCTATACAATACAACCCAGCCAGCTCAGCTCAGCCCAGTTATACCAGGAAATAAATGTATTGTGTAGAACTGATATGATTGTCTATCATGCAGATTAGGGAATGTCATCGGCTGTAGTTGTTACATTTCTGTCTGCAACATTATGAACGTTCCAGTTCCACCTCACTGAATAGGGCTGCAGGTAGCCTAGCGGTTAGAGCGTTAAGACAGTAACCGAAAGGTTGCTAGTTCAAATCCCCTAGCTGAAAGATGTGCTTAAGGGGCGCAGGACAATGGCGACTGTGACCCCACTCTCTCAAGGGGTGTTGGGATATACACATATCCAATTCACATGTTTTTTAATACACACTTGTACATGTGTGAAATAGGATAAATATAAGCACCCACATAATTATTATCATTTATACACCTCTCTCTCTCATCATAAGATATCTCCTATTGGCTAGAAACAGCTGACAATCAGGTGCATCTTAATAGTGTAAGATGTGTTCCTCCCCTCCCCTCCTCCTTCACTGACGTGAAGGTTCAGCTGTCCTGTTCAGAGGGAGAGGAGAAGAGGAAACTAAGAAGAGAATTTAGACTGTTGACTTCAGATGCATCCCTGGTGTTGTTTAGTAGCCTCATGTGAGGCGTGTGTGTGTGTGTGTGTGTGTGTGTGTGTGTGTGTGTGTGTGTGTGTGTGTGTGTGTGTGTGTGTGCGTGCGTGCGTGCGTGCGTGCGTATGTGTGTGTGTGCGTGCCTGTCTGACAGGTTCCTCAAGGATACTGTTCATTATAAAAATCATATTATGTGCATTATTTCCATCCTGAGACTGGCCTTTGAGACTTCCTGTAACGGGGATTGTACACACACACACACATCAACTCAAACAAACACACACACACCAGCCTGAACCTTCTCTATGAGGACATGGAGGGAATAGCTTTGATTTCGTGACAAAACAGACTCAGGCTGGGGGGGCATGCTGATGTGTGTGTGTGTGTGTGTGTGTTATCAGTATGAGGGGGGATGGCCTAGCCAAGCTCTCAGTGTTTAATTGAGTGTTTTAATATTGTTTGAGGCAGAAAGTTATAATTTGATATTTACAGGGCAGATTAACAGTCTACCAAAATATGAGTGTTGTATGTGTTTGTGTGTGTGTGTCTGTGTGTGTCTGTATGTGTCTGTGTCTGTCTGTGTGTGTGTGTGTGTGTGTGTGTGTCTGTATGTGTCTGTGTCTGTCTGTCTGTCTGTCTCTGTGTGTGTGTGTGTGTGTGTCTGTGTGTCTGTGTGTGTGGCTGTGTGTGTCTGTGTGTGTCTGTGTGTGTCCTCATTTCCTTGTGTCCTCTCCCCCTCTCCTTGACTCCTCTCTTCCTGTTCTCTCCATCCTCTGCTCTGAGCTGAGGAGACTAGAATTTGGATGACCAGCTCTTTTAGATATTCAGCCCTTTGCAGATGGTGGAGGAGATGAGGGAAAGGTGGGGTCAGCGACTGTAGATTATTGAGATGCAGCCCTTGTCTCTAAATGAAGAGCTTCAGAGGTTGTCCTGCCATATCTGTTGGCAGTAGAAAGGGTTCTACTCTCTCTCTCTCTCTCTCTCTCCCCCCCCTTTTGTCTCTCTCTCCTCTCTTTCTCTCGCTCTCTCCGTCTCTCTCTCCATCTCTCTCTCTATCAAAAGTAGCATAAATGACTCTCAATCTGTAGAATCAAGCGGCATCTCAAATATGTTAATGTGAGCTTGCAGATCTAGGACACCAGAAGCACACACACATATAGACACACGCATACATGCACACACACACGTGGACACACACATGCACGCACACATTTAGAGGCATAGCTCTGGAAAGAATTAAGAGACCACTGCAAATTTTTCTTAAATAAGCATCTCTACATGTATGACATCCATTCCAGTGTCTGTTGAATTCCAACACAGGCACACCTCATTCTACTGAATTAGGTACTGATTAGGTGATCACCTGAATCAAATCTTATTTAACGAGGAAAAGTATAAAAACCACTGCTGTGGTCATCACTATCCTCCTGCAATAGGACCAGTTGAATGGCAAAAACAGTGCTAATAGTACCTCAAAAGTAATATTAATCAAAAAATAACTATTGACCATGCCAAAGGAGTTGAAAAGGAAAGTTTTGAATGAGGAAAAGAAGGGTTCAATTCTGGCTTTACTGGCAGAGGGATACAGTGAGCGTCAGGTTGCTTCCATCCTTAAAATGTAAATGACGGCGGTTCATAAGAACAAGTTCAAGCAGCAGACATTGGGGACAACAAAGCTACAGACCGGCAGAGGGTGAAAACGACTCTCTACTGACCAGGATGACTGCCAACTCATTCGAATGTCACTCAACAACCGTAGGATGACATCAAGTGACCTACAAAAGAATGGCAAACGGCAGTTGGGGTGAAGTGCACGGCGAGGACGGGTTCGAAACAGGCTCCTAGGGGCAGGGCTGAAGTCGTGCAAAGCTAGAAAAAGCCCTTCATCAATGAGAAGCAAAGAAGAGCCAGGCTGAGGTTTGCAAAAGACCATAATGATTGGACCGTAGAGGACTGGAGTAAGGTCATCTTCTCTGATGAGTCCAATTTTCAGCTTTGCCCAATACCTTGTCGTCTAATGGTTAGATGGAGACCTGGAGAGGCCTACAAGCCAGTGTCTCGCACCCACTCTGAAATTTGGTGGAGGATCGGTGATGATCTGGGGGTGCTTCAGCAAGGCTGGAATCAGGCAGATCTGTCTTTGTGAAGGACGCATAAATCAAGCCATGTACAAGGTTGTCCTGGAAGAAAACTTGCTTCCTTTTGCTCTGACATTGTCCCCCAACTCTGAGGATTGGTTTTTCCAGCAGGACAATGCGCCATGCCACACAGCCAGGTCAATCAAGGTGTGGATGGAGGACCACCAGATCAAGACCCTGTCATGGCCAGCCCAATCTCCAGCCTGAACCCCATTGAAAACTTCTGGAATGTGATCAAGAGGAAGATGGATGGTCACAAGCCATCAAACAAAGCCGAGCTGCCTGAATTTTTGCGCCAGGAGTGGCATAAAGTCACCCAACATCAATGTGAAAGACTGGTGGAGAGCATGCCAAGACGCATGAAAGCTGTGATTGAAAATCAGGGTTATTCCACCAAATATTGATTTCTGAACTCTTCCTAAGTTAAAACTTTAGTATTGTGTTGTTTAAAAATTAACATGAACTTATTTTCTTTGCATTATGCAAAGAAAAAGTCCAGTGTCTGTGTTATTTTGCCCATGTTAATCTTTTCTTTTTATTGGCCAGTCTGAGATATGGCTTTTTCTTAGCAACTCTGCCTAGAAGGTCAGCATCCCGGAGTCACCTCTTCACTGTTGACGTTGAGACTGGTGTTTTGTGGGTACTATTTAATGAAGCTGCCAGTTGAGGACCTGTGAGGCGTCTGTTTCTCAAACTAGACACTCTAATGTATTTGTCCTCTTGCTCAGTTGTGCACCGGGGCCTCCCACTCCTCTTTCTATATATTTTAATGTGACAACACTGAAGAAATCACACTTTGCTACAATGTAAAGTAGTGAGTGTACAGCTTGTATAACAGTGTCAATTTGCTGTCCCCTCAAAATAACTCAACACAAAGCCATTAATGTCTAAACTGCTGGCAACAAAAGTGAGTACACCCCTAAGTGAAAATGTCCAAATTGGGCCCAAAGTGTCAATATTTTGTGTGGCCACCATCATTTTCCAGCACTGCCTTAACCCTCTTGGGCATGGAGTTCACCAGAGCTTCACAGGTTGCCACTGGAGTCCTCTTCCACTCCTCCATGACGACATCACGGAGCTAGTGGATGTTAGAGACCTTGCACTCCTCCACCTTCCGTTTGAGGATGCCCCACATATGCTCAATAGGGTTTAGGTCTGGAGACATGCTTGGCCAGTCCATCACCTTTACCCTCAGCTTCTTTAGCAAGGCAGTGGTCGTCTTGGAGGTGTGTTTGGGGTCATTATCACGTTTTGTCTCCAAAGCCCCATATAATACCCACCACTGTGACCTGTACGCTCTTGTTGGCTGGTCCTCACTACATATTCGTCGCCAAACCCACTGGCTCCAGGCCATCTATAAATCACTGCTAGGCAAATCCCCGCCTTATCTTAGCTCATTGGTCACCATAGCAACACCCACCCGTAGTCTGCGCTCCAGCGGGTATATCTCACTGGTCATCCCCAAAGCCAACACCTCCTTTGGCCGCAATTCCTTCCAGTTCTCTGCTGCCAATGACTGGAACAAATTGCAAAAATCTCTGAAGCTGGAGACACTTATCTCCCTCACTAACTTTAAGCATCAGTTGTCAGAGCACCTTACCGATCACTGCACCTGTACACAGCCCATCTGAAATTAGCCCGCCCAACTACCTCATCCCTATATTGTTATCTATTTTGCTCATTTGTACCCCAGTATCTCTATTTGCACATCATCTCTTGCACATCATTCCAGTGTTAATACTAAATTGTAATTATTTTGCACTATAGCCTATTTTATTGCCTTACCTCCATAACTTGCTAAATTTGCACACTGTATATTATATGTATTTCTGTTGTATTTTTGACTTTGTTTTGTTTTACCCCATATGTAACTCTGTGTTGTTGTTTTTTATCGCACTGCTTTGCTTTATCTTGGCCAGGTCGCAGTTGTAAATGAGAACTTGTTCTCAACTGGTTTACCTGGTTAAATAAAGGTGAAATAAAATAAAAAAATAAAAATGGTATACTGCCCTGCGGCCCAGTCTCCGAAGGGAGGGGATCATGCTCTGCTTCAGTATGTCACAGTACATGTTGGCATTCATGGTTCCCTCAATGAACTGTAGCTCCCCAGTACCGGCAGCACTCATGCAGCCCCAGACCATGACACTCCCACCACCATGCTTGACTGTAGGCAAGACACACTTGTCTTTGTACTCCTCACCTGTTTGCCGCCACACACGCTTGACACCGTCTGAACCAAATAAGTGTATCTTGGTCTCATCAGACCACAGGACATGGTTCCAGTAATCCATGTCCTTAGTCTGTTTGTCTTCAGCAAACTGTTTGCGGGCTTTCTTGTGCATCATCTTTAGAAGAGTCTTCCTTCTGGGACAACAGCCATGCAGACCAATTTGATGCAGTGTGCGGCATATGGTCTGAGCACTGACAGGCTGACCCCCCACCCCTTCAACCTCTGCAGCAATGCTGGCAGCACTCATACGTCTATTTCCCAAAGACAACCTCTGGATATGACGCTGAGCACGTGCACTCAACTTCTTTGATCGACCATGGCGAGGCCTGTTCTGAGTGGAACCTGTCCTGTTAAACCGCTGTATGGTCTTGGCCACCGTGCTGCAGCTCAGTTTCAGGGTCTTGGCAATCTTCTTATAGCCCAGGCCATCTTTATGTGTGGTCCTCTGTAGCTCAGCTGGTAGAGCACGGCGCTTGTAACGCCAAGGTAGTGGGTTCGATCCCCGGGACCACCCATACACAAAAATTTATGCACGCATGACTGTAAGTCGCTTTGGATAAAAGCGTCTGCTAAATGGCTTATTATTATGTAGAGCAACAATTCTTTTTTTCAGATCCTCAGAGAGTTCTTTGCCATGAGGTGCCATGTTGAACTTCCAGTGACCAGTATGAGGGAGTGTGAGAGTGATGACACCAAATTTAACATACCTGCTCCCCATTCACACCTGAAACCTTGTAACACCAACGAGTCACATGACACCGGGGAGGGAAAATGGATAATTGGGCCCAATTTGGACATCTTCACTTAGGGGTGTACTCACTTTTGTTGCCAGCGGTTTAGACATTAATGGCTGTGTGTTGAGTTATTTTGAGGGGACAGCAAATTTACACTGTTATACAAGCTGTACACTCACTACTTGACATTGTAGCAAAGTGTAATTTCTTCAGTGTTGTCACATGAAAATACATACTCAAATATTTACAAAAATGTGAGGGGTGTACTCACTTTTGTGAGATACTGTATATATATCGCTTACACTACACACACACACTGCATAGAGATGGGAAAGCTAACGTTATATTGTATAATTTCAACAAATACCACACAGCTTACCCCCAGCTATTTGACAGTTGGCACATATTGTTTGCGTGTGGGTGGGTGTATGTGTCTCACCTCTGGCTGAGAGCTTTTTGGTATTGATGATTTTGGCAGCATACTCCTGGCCGGTGCAAAGTTTGACACAGCGGCGCACCACTGAAAACGCTCCCCTGGGAAACAAAGGCAAATAGAACAGGTGTTAGACATCACCTAGCCCTGGCAGCATTTCAATATTCTAGTCACTTCCTCTACTTTCCCCTTGTCTCCTTTCCTACATTCCCACTGATCTGAAAGAACTGGACAAGTTGAAAGCATATCCTTATCCACTTCCCCTCTACTGCTTTCACATCTGCCTTTCAAAAGTAAAGACATTTCTCCTGAAAGGAGTAATTTGAGTGTGAGACACGTGACAAGCAGCTCAGCAGCACATCATGCAAATGAGAAGACTCAAGAGAAAACAACAAAAACTGTCTTTCAAGGATTTCTCTGTGTGTGCGTACAACCATTTGTATGTGTGTGTGTCTGTGTCTGTGTATGTGAGTGAGTGAGAGAGAGAGAGAGAGAGAGAGAGAGAGAGAGACAGAGAGAGAAAGTGCGAGAGAGAGAGAGAGAGGGTGAGAGAAGTGAGAGAAGTGTTTGAGAGAGAGAGAGAGAGAGAGAGAGAGAGAGAGAGAGAGAGAGAGAGAGAGAGTGTTGAGAGAGAGAGAGAGAGAGAGAGTCGTGTGTTTGTGAGAGAGGGCGAGAGAGAGACGCGAGGAGCGCGCAGGAGAGCGGATCGGCTGCGCGCTGCGAGACAGAGGCCGAGGAGCGTCGCCGTGCTCGCGCGCGAGGGTGGAGCCGTGCCCGCACTATGCGCGCGCGCGCGGCGCGAGCTCTCTCGCGCGCGTGTTTTGCGCGCGCGCTCGCGCGACGCGCGGCGGTGTGTTTTCGCGCGCGCGGCGCGCGCGCGGCGAGCGAGCGCGCGCGCCGCGCGCCTCGCGCGCGCTCGCGCGCGCGCGGCGGCGCGCGATCGCCGCGTGACGTGTCTGTAGCAGTGCTGGTATTTTGGGGGGAGCTTGCATAACTAACTCAGCAGGGAAAACAGCATTAACTGTCTGTGTCGTTTTCTCTGAGCTATATATAGAACACCTTAGTACCGTTATAATAACACACACACACACTCTCTAACCTGACTGTCTTACACACTCTCATGCTTACACTAGACCCCCACGTCTCCCACACACACTCTTAAATGCCATGACAGGTGAGTGTGTAAGAGTATATATACAGAGACAGCAGGCTTACGGCAGCAGAGAAAGACTTGTGAGACAACGCACACAGACACACCAAAAAGGGACAATCTGCCATCCTTACAGGAACTGTAATGAAGGTCCTGTTATCTATTGGGACAGCTGCTGCCACCACAGCATGGCTATTGTCTCTGGCTAATCACACAGGCCAGAACACACACACACACACACACACACACACACGCCAGTGAACCTGCAGTTACATATACAAGTGCACTACATGCTGTGCCATAAAGGTCCAGACCTCTTGGTAGAACTCTTAGTATTAGGGGCTACACTTTATGGTAATATGTGCAGCAAATGTTTGGATTCCATAATGGCACCATATCTGCAGTTCTGTTTGCATAAGGATGTATTATGATCTATAAAATATGTTTCTCCTCCTGACAGAGAATGAGGAGAATACTCCCCCCTACCCAGTCCCACCCCCACACAGCCTGACACACCTATCCTGCTATGTGGTACAGTTTTTTTCTCTCTTTCTCTCTCTCTCTCTCTCTCTCTCTCTCTCTCTCTCTCTCTCTCTCTCTCTCTCAAACACACACCCTCTCTCTCTCTCTCAAACACACACACTCTCTCTCTCTCTCTCTCTCTCTCTCAAACACACACCCTCTCTCTCGCTCTCTCTCTCACTCTCACACACAGTCATACAGTCACACACACACAGTCACACACACTGCCGCACCTATCTTTCCATCCTCTCTCAAGACCCCAATTACAAAACATCCCATGCCGCTCTGATCTCTGACAGCTCAAATTGGCACACTTCCTCTCACTCCAGACCGCTACAGCATGTCCCCAGTCCCCACTGATGCTGTTGTTACAGACCATGCGGCAAGCAGATAAAATGTAGTCTAGCCCATCTTTTATCTTCAAGTTTAAACATTGTATGTCATGTCGAGGCTGCACTTCAAAACAGAGTGAAAACGTGCGTTTTGTTTAGCTGTGTTGCTGCGAACGTGAGAGATCAGCAGAGATGCGCTCTGACCCCCATTCCGCCGCGCTGCCTCTCCAACAACCCATACACATCTGCAAACATACAACGATGCAAAGCAACCATAGAATAACAGGATGAGGATACAATGATGGTGCCATCATAAAGCAATAATGCAGAAACGCCTTACTTTCCGAGTTCTTCATATAGTTGGAAATCGTCCGTAAAACGTGTACAGGTAGTCACTGCCATCTTCCGTTTATTCGCGGCGGTTGTGCGAACCGAAATAATCCCGTCTTCAAGTGAATTGATATTGGATGTATCTGTTGAGTAGCCTAGTTATTCTATGTCCAAAAAAAATGCCGCGGTGTAATGCGTTTTCTGTCCAGAGAGCACTAGGAAATAGGCCTACAGATATGTAGGCTATTCGAGTGGAGGGGAGGCAGTGGTGCTACTCTCTCTCACTCTCTCTCTCCGAAAGTGTGTCGCTCAATCGCCTTTCACTCCGTTTCTGCACGGACGAGCGCGCTGTAAATACAACACATACTTTTTCTACCACCAGGGGGCATTGCAACGGCTCGACAACACCTGGCACATCAGAATCAGATAAATTCTTTACAGGCTTTGGCTTCATCATCATCATCATCATCATCATCACCAATCATGTGTAGCATCTGGAACAGATATAGCCTACAGGCTATACAATTGATTGACGTCTTTTCTTAGGTCTACCAAAATAAAATGGATTATGTTTTAGTGTGTCGAAACTGTTAGACAGTAAATATCGTTAAACTGCCATAAATCTAACAATGTGAACAAAAGTACATTTGAGTGTTTGTTATACTTTGATTATCGTATTTTAAAAATGACCCGACACACACCAATTCAAACCAAAGTGTGGTCCATGGTAGGCAACATCAGTGCTTGAAGTGGGCCGGTGCTCAACGCAGTACCTCAACATTTCTCCTGTGATAACTGGCCCCTCCTGTAGATAATTGACTATAAAGCATGATGAATACAGGCTCCTAAATATAACATTTGCCAACAGCACCTATTTCAGTCCACTTGAATAACTGGGCAAATTAAAGCACCAGTGTAACTTACCTGGGATGGAAGAGATATGCTGAGTCATAGGCTACTACTGTCTATTGTCTCTATTCTTGGATTGTTCTTCTACACTGACATCACGAATAACTCTATTCTTAGGAGCAAAGCTTCTACACTTCAGACCTGAGGAACAAAGACAATCCCTTTGATCTTCAAAAAATTATCTGTGACTGTATTCATCTTTAAATAATTATCTGTGACTTTATGGATCTTTAAAGAACTCTCTGTGGCTGTATTGATATTTAAAGAACTATATGTGACTCAGTGGAGGCTGCTGAGGGGAGGACAGCTCATAATAATGTCTGGAACGAAGCGAATGGAATGGTATCAAACCATGCGTTTGATGTATTTGATACCATTCCACTAATTCCGATCCAGCCATTACCCCAAGCCCGTCCTCCACAATTAATCTGCCCCAACCTCCTGTGCTGTGACTGTATTCATCTTTAAAGAACTGTCTGCGACTGTATTAATGCATAAAGTAGTGTCTGTGACTACATTCATCTTTAAAGAACTGTCTGCCGGTGTCTATGCTGTCTGTCTGAGCATCTGACCAGTTCTAGATATATTAGTTCTGCTATCCATCTTCTATTTTATTCATCTGATACTGCCATTCTCAGACCAAGAAGGAATATTATACTGCACTGAGGAGAATCAGAGCGATCTTTTTATAGCGCCCTCCTCTGGCATTACTGTTAAATGTCAAGTCTGCCACCAGGCACTCCTGTAGATCTGCAGGGACCCATAGAGACATATAGAGATCTCTACTTAGAAATAACCAGTTTTTGCATGGACATTGCCTTTGAGGGCTTTCACCATTTTAAAGTAGTCAACTGGGTGGGTATTCCTATGGGTTGGGAACGATCAGCCAATGATCAGAGCATTGTCTCCTTCAAATTGGTTTGCCTAGTTTATAAATGTATTTCAGCCATATCACCGCCATCTAATGGCCACAATAAATAAATTACAAGATTTGGTTCAAGATTCCAGCACTGCAAGTGGTGGTAAATCACCAATCTTAGCTCTAAACTTTTTTCCAAACATCAAAAGAAAATGGACTACTTTAAAATGGAGATTGCCTCAATGGCGCTGCCCATTCTGACACAGATGCCATAATGGCAGATACAATGTTGAGAACTCTTTGCATCTTTATGGAAAGGACCACATAGGTTTTAGTGCCACTCCAGAGCATACATAGCCTACACACACACACACACACACACACAGAGAGAACGCATCAGTGCAGGATTTTATTTTATTTCATTTATTTCAGGCACACAGTACTGACACACCTCAGTAAAATGAAAATGGCAGGGAGGTATTTAGCCAACCAATATAAGTCCTCTACATGTAAAACACCACCGAGACATCTGGACTTGGAAGTTGCCCCTAGAAACTGATCTAGGGTCCGTTTTGCATCCTCCACCTCAATGGTGAAGCTTAGGATATGGGGAGGGTCAACTGATCCTAGATCTGTGTCTGTACAGCTATCTCCCAGGTCCAGGTGTGTTCAGTGGGCAGACAGACACATAAACAGGTACGTTCAGGGTCGTGTTCATTAGGGCACGAAATTGAAAGTTTTTTTTAAACGTTTTGCAACGGAAAGCGTAAATGAGCGTTCAGGGAGTGCAGGAAGTTCCTCACAGTTCAGTCTTTTTCTTCTGTTTGGTACCTAATGAACACAACCCAGGGATGTCACATCAGTCAGAACACAGTAACAAAGCTTATCTCCCTCCTATTCAAAGATCACTCAAAAAAATAAAGAAAAATCATCTTAAAATACCAGGCAGTTTCCACTGAAAAATCTGCCAACTCTCCTCAGTCTGTCAACCCCAATCCCCAACATTGTGTGCGTGTTCACATCTGTACGGCGCTGGAGGGGATGTCGAACATGGAGGGATCAAACTGTTGTCCTTTAAAGGGAGAGCCCTCAGCATCCCAGCCCTTCTTCAGCATGTCATGCACCTTCTACACAGAGAGAGCGAGAGAGAAGAGAGGAGAGAGAGGAGAGAGAGAGAGAATGGAATGCCCACATACAGTTGAAGTCGGAAGTTTACATACACTTAGGTTGGAGTCATTAAAACTTGTTTTTCAACCACTCCACAAATTTCTTGTTAACAAACTATAGTTTTGGCAAGTCGGTTAGGACATCTTTCCAACAATTGTTTACAGACAGATTATTTCACTTATAATTCACTGTATCACAATTCCAGTGGGTCAGAAGTTTACATACACTAAGTTGACTGTGCCTTTAAACAGCTTGGAAAATTCCAGAAAATGATGTCATGGCTTTAGAAGCTTCTGACATCATTTTGAGTCAATTGGAGGTGTACCTGTGGATGTATTTCAGGCCTACCTTCAAACTCAGTGCCTCTTTGCTTGACATCATGGGAAAATCAAAAGAAATCAGCCAAGACCTCAGAATAAATATTGTAAACCTCCACAAGTCTGGTTCATCCTTGGGAGCAATTTCCAAACGCCTGAAGGTACCACATTCATCTGGACAAACAATAGTACGTAAGTATAAACACCATGGGACCACGCAGCCGTCATACTGCTCAGGAAGGAGACGCGTTCTGTGCGAAAAGTGCAAATCAATCCTAGAACAACAGCAAAGGACCTTGTGAAGATGCTGGAGGAAACAGGTACAAAAGTATCTATATCCACAGTAAAACAAGTCTTATATTGACATAACCTGAAAGGCCGCTCAGCAACGAAGAAGCCACTGCTCCAAAACCGCCATAAAAAAGCCAGACTACGGTTTGCAACTGCACATTATTATTATTATATATTATTATTATTATTATTATTACATGGGGACAAAGATCGTCCTTTTTGGAGAGATGTCCTCTGGTCTGATGAAACAAAAATAGAACTGTTTGGCCATAATGACCATCGTTATGTTTGGAGGAAAAAGGGGGGACTTGCAAGCCGAAGAACACCATCCCAACCGTGAAACACGGGGTGGCAGCATCATGCTGTGGGGGTGCTTTGCTGCAGGAGAGACGTGCACTTCACAAAATAGATGGCATCATGAGGAAGGAAATTATGTGGATATATTGAAGCAACATCTCAAGACATCAGTCAGGAAGTTAAAGCTTGGTCGCAAATGGGTCTTCCAAATGGACAATGACCCCAAGCAAACTTCCAAAGTTGTGGCAAAATGGCTTAAGGACAACAAAGTCAAGGTATTGGAGTGGCCATCACAAAGCCCTGACCTCAAACCTATAGAAACTGTGTGGGCAGAACTGAAAAAGCATGTTCGAGCAAGGAGGCCTACAAACCTGACTCAGTTACACCAGCTCTGTCAGGAGGAAATGGGCCAAAATTCACCCAACTTATTGTGGGAAGCTTGTGGAAGGCTACCCGAAACGTTTGACCAAAGTTAAATAATTTAAAGGCAATGCTACCAAATACTAATTGAGTGTATGTAAACTTCTGACCCACTGGGAATGTGATGAAAGAAATAAAAGCTGAAATAAATCACTCTCTACTATTATTCTGACATTTCACATTCTTAAAATAAAGTGGTGATCCGAACTGACCTAAGACAGGGAATTTTTACTAGGATTAAATGTCAGGAATTGTGAAAAACTGAGACTTCAACTGTACATATTTACATACAGTGCATTCGGAAAGTATTCAGCCCCCTTTTTTGACATTTTGTTATGTTACAGCTTTATTCTAAAATTGATTAAATTGTTTTATCCCCTCAACAATCTACACACAATACCCAATAATGACAAAGCAAAAACTGTTTTTTATAAAAAAGTGAAATAATACATTTACATAAGTATTCAGACCCTTTACTCAGTACTTTGTTGAAGCACCTTTGGCAGCGATTACAGCCTCGAGTCTTCTTGGGTATGACGCTACAAGCTTGGCACACATGTACTTGGGGAGTAACTCCCATTCTTACTCCCATTCTTCTCTACAGATCCTCTCAAGCTCTGTCAGGTTGGATGGGGAGCGTCGCTGCACAGCTATTTTCAGGTCTTTCCAGAGATGTTCGATCGGGTTCAAGTCCGGGATCTGGCTGGGCCACTTAAGGACATTCAGAGACTTGTCCCGAAGCCACTCCTGCGTTGTCTTGGCTGTGTGCTTAGGGTCGTTGTCCTGTTGGAAGGTGAACCTGTTGGAAGGTGAACCCGATCGAACATCTCTGGAGAGACCTGAAAATTGCAGCACCCCTACATCTTGCGGCTATGAGAAAGTGCAGTTGTCTTTACATGTAGGTCTGATATCTGATTGGAGGTTAACTTTACAGTAATACCATTGGTCAACAACTTAGATGTTGAATCCAAACAACTCAGATGTTATAAAATGGTCTCAGATTCATTGTCCTTTCTCTTTGTTCCTGACCATCTGTGGTGAGATGCACTCGCGCACTCGCTCTCTCTCTCTCTTTCTCAATTCAAGGGCTTCATTGGCATGGGAAACATAGGTGAACCTTCGCCCCAGTCTGAGGTCCTGAGAATCTTGTTTCTCATGGTCTGAGAGTCCCTGCCGCTGAAAAACATCCCCACAGCATGCTGCCATCACCATGCTTCACTGTAGGGATGGTGCCAGGTTTCCTCCAGACGTGTCGCTTGGCATTCAGGCCAAAGAGTTCAATCTTGGTTTCATCAGACCAGAGAATCTTGTTTCTCATGGTCTGAGAGTGCTTTAGGTGCCTTTTGGCAAACGCCAAGCGGGCTGTCATGTGCCTTTTACTGAGGATTGGCTTCTGTCTGGCCACTACCATAAAGGCCTGAATGGTGGAGTGCTGCAGAGATGGTTGTCCTTCTGGAAGGTTCTCCCATCTCCACAGATGAACTCTAGAGCTCTGTCAGAGTGACCATCGGGTTCTTGGTCACCTCCCTGATCAAGGCCCTTCTCCCCCGATTGCTCAGTTTGGCCGGGCAGCCAGCTCCAGGTAGAGTCTTGGTGGTTCCAAACTTCTTCCATTTAAGAATGATGGAGGCCACTGTGTTCTTGGGGACCTTCAATGCTGCAGACATTTTTTGGTACCCTTCCCCAGATTTGTGCCTCGACACAATCCTGTCTCGGAGCTCTACGGACATTTCCTTCGACCTCATGGCTTGATTTTTGTTCTGACATGCACTGTCAACTGTGGGACCTTATATAGACAGGTGTGTGCCTTTCCAAATTATGTCCAACCCTTCTCAACATCATGAGGCTTAGGTTAGTTTCTGATGGTAGTGTATGTGTGCTTACGTGCGTCTGCCTGTGTGTGTGTGTGCTCTCACCATCTCATGGCTCTGGGGCTTGCCCTGTAGTTTCTGGTGGTAGTCGAAGGTGAGTCTGTCCAGCACGGCGTGCTCCTCCTCGTCCACCGTGGCCATGGAGCGCTCCCTGTTGATCTGGTTCACATCAATCTCCTTCTCTCCCTTCAACACAGCACTCCACCAGACCTCCCCACTCTTACTGAGAGACAACTTCAGGGGGAGGGAGGAAGGGTGGGTCAGTGAGTGAGTGTGTCTATATATATTTGTAGTTGTGTGTGTGTGTGTGTGTGTGTGTCACTCACCACCACACAACGTCCAGGCTCCAGGCTCCATAGTGAGTTCTCAGTGTTGATCTTATGCGTGAACTCTCCTTCCATCAGGACCGTCTCTCCAGCCCCCTCCTTCAAACACACACGCACACTGCCCGGCTGCATGTTCACACACACCTGGGCAGGGACACACACAAAGAGAAGTTATCGCATAAATACTTCACATACATTACATGTTACAACCCCAGGAGAAATTTTTAACTTGAGAATCTCATCAACTGGACATAGGAAACTCATCACATTATAATAATTTATAAACATTAACGATTTGTTTTTTGAAAAGGTTGAAATACGTAGAAAGAAGAGCCCTGTGGTGGCCGTGTTAACCTGTCTGCCCTTGACGACGGTCTTGGGAACGTTGACGCGGACCTCGACGTCGGTGTAGTCCTGAGACCAACTGTAGGTGTCCCTCACCGCCCCATTGTAACTATCTGGATTGGCCTGTTGCATCACCTGACCACTGATACACACACACACACAGTGGAAGAAGCACTTAATAAAAGGGTTGGTATTAGGGTGGGTTTTAGAATTAGGGTTGGGGTCAATTCCATGCCACTAAGGAGATTCTACCAAATTCAAAACTGCCAACATGTATTTGTAGGGCATTTCAGCAAATATGTAAATGTCCCATCTATAACAGGTTTTAACAGTTGTGGACCTGTTTTATGTAACTTCGTGGACACTTTTCTAAAGCATTGAAAAAGCTTATAGAAAGAACCAGTCATATTGGCATAGCCAAGAGAGGCAGTACAATACTAACTCTGTAGATGCTGAACTGGCTGCTGCCTGGTCTCCATGTGATGACTGCTGGGCCATACTGCTGCAATGGGGCTGTGGAATAGAGGCTGAGGCTTGGCTGGAAGAGGCTTGGCTAGAGAGTGCACTGGGCTCTCCAGAGGCTGAGGCAGAGCTCTCTCTCTGGGCAGCAGGCTCTGTCCTCTCCCCCCTCGGCTCCTCCGGCTGCTCAGTGGCCTGCAACTCCAGCTCCTGCAGCGCGGGGGGCGCCACCCTGGCCTCCTGTCTCTGCTGCATCTCCCTCTGCTGCCTCTCTCTGTCCTGCTCTGCCACACGCTCAAACAGACGGAAGGACTGTGGAGAATAACAGACGTGCCAAGTCCATAATCAACCCCCTAATCATTTTTGTGTACCTTAAAAGGTAGTCTGCAAGATGGTATCATCATAGACAAGGGGAAGGTATCAACTTATAACCAAATCAGCCAAGACTGACATCTCTTCCCATATGAGTTTAGACACAAGGTGAAGTGCCAATAATGGTAGTCTTGACAGGTTAGGTCACTGTTAACCTATCGTAGCAGGCGTAAAAGAAAACGCCTGAGCGGAGTTCCCACATCCAGTTTTCAGCGAAAACGGAAGCTAGGTAGAATTAGCTCTGTGCTGTATCCCTGAAAACCGGATACATCCGATTGTTGGCAACATTTGCCGCGTTCAAAACAACTGTAGCAATCATGGCCGAATACTGTCCAGTCACGCAGGGCACCTGACCTCCAGGGCCCACCCCCCTAGCTAATTTCCTGCAATTCTACACATTTTGCCATGACTTATGCCATGTTAATGATATCTGAGTGAGAGTGACTAATAAAATCAAATGGTGGGCCCCCTGGAGGTCAAGGCCCTGGGCATGTGCCCTGCGTGACCGGTCGGTATTTGGCCATGATTACTAGAAGTTTAGAGAGCTGGCAAGACTAATTTACCAATCTAAAAATATTTAGCTAACATGGCTAATTGAGTGACTGTCAGTGACTGACATAACACGAGAGAAATTGCCGATGCACAAACACATTTCGAACTTGCACCTTATGTATTCTACTATAAGCGCCGTTGATTATGTCTGGAGCAGGCCCCTGTTCAAGACCACTTGGGAACTCGGGAAAAAACGAGCTCAGACTGGGAAAAATCGTTTTGAACGATCATCTAACTCGGAATTCAAAGTCGGAAAATCGGGCATCTTTCTAAAGTTCAGACCTGAAGATCACTGACGTCATGATTTTACCTCGTTTTTCCCCCCGAGTTCCCTGTTGTCTTGAAAGCACCATCTGTTGGTGTTGTATGTAAGTCGACCCGTTGTTTATGATGATGTCATCCTACTGAGTGTAGCTTTAAAAACGACGTATATGGTGAGCAGCGATCTAGGGTGCAAATTGGCTAGCCTGAACGGCTAACACAGAAGTTGTCAAAGGTTTAACTAGCTAGCTACAGTAGTAAGGTACATTAACTACCTTTAGGACCATTTTCTCTGCCACCCCTGGAGGGAAGCCCATACGGTCGTTGGGGGTTGACAGCAAACGGTAAAAGTCTGTCTTGCGGTACAGGAAGCCGAAGTAGACCTGAAGGAAATTCTGGATGTTTCCAACATGCTGCAAGATTCCAAGCAAAGCGTTGTCATATAACTCTGTCATTTCCATGGGCGACGCCATTGTAGATTTTAAACTTTACGTAATTTGTCAAACTGTTGAAACTTGACGCAAAAGACTGTTGTATTTCAATAAATGTATCCTTATCGCAAAAATGTATTGTTGTCCGTTGAGATTGTGTGTACCAAGCAAGCTGGATAGCTATTTCGATTTTTTTTTAGGTACGCACTGAAAGTTGTCCCCAGGGTAACACCACCCGCAAAATAAGGTTCCTATGTCAAAATATTGTTTTCTAATATAATACACTGTGTTGAATATAATACATCCATTTCAATTTATATAATCAATAACAAAATGTAATTGGTGCTTATATAATTTTACATCGTGATACAATGAGAAAATGGCTAATATCTGGCACTTCCCACAAACCCTTTCGTCAGTAAAAAATGGCTGCGTCCTTGAGCTGTCGGAGTGTGATATCGGTGAGAAACATGTTTACATTCGGTCCATAATTTGACAACTGTTTGAGATTATTCTACTTTAAAGTGTTGTGATATAATCTAACGATGACCATTTTTTGTTTTGATACGTGGGCGGTGCTTGGAGAAAGAGCGTGTTTCTGGCTGGCTAGCCAATGATGTAGCAGCTAACGTTAGCCAATGTTACTTGGCTGTTGTTCAGTGTCTTTGCTTTCTCACCTTTGCCCCACAGAACGCGCTTGCCAGAGTAGGCACTTCGATATGCATCAACTCTGGAACACGAGCACTTCATGTCACTGCAGCATGCTGCAAGGTATGTATTCAAACTGACTGTTATAGCCATTGACTATTGCCATCCACATTGCCTCACTCACTGGCTGGCTGCTAAAAGGATTGCCTACAACTGGACATCTGGTACTTTCCCTTTTGTGTTGTCAGAATCGCGCAGCTCGTATTCGGGTGGGGAAAGGAGACCGACCACTGACCTATGAGCAAGCACTCCACCCCCACCACATAGGCCACCGCAAGGGCTGGCTTTCCCAGCACACGAGTAAGTCACTGTCTAGTTTTCCCCCTGTAGCCCTCACACTTATCTGACCTAGTACAAGATAACTCAGTGTATAGCGAGTAACAAAGTTACTGTCATACGCTGGGCTAGGTTATAGACTAACCATAGTGATCAGATAGAAATGCAAACAAACTTGATAATTGTCATTGTGTGTCAAAGAAGCCTTAACATTTCTGTCCCTATTTCTCCCTCCATCCCTCTCTTTATCTCCTAGGTAACCTACAGGGAGAGGGAGGAGCATCAGATCGTACTGTGGAAGACGTGTTTGTACGACGTTTCCTCTTCGGAACTTTCCATAACTGCCTGGCCAATGAGATTGTGATTAAGCGAAGAGGCAACATGCTAGTGGTTTGTGCCCTGATGCTGCAGAAACTCCCTCCACAGAAGTTCTACTTCCTGATTGGCTACACTGAGACGCTGCTCTCCCATTTCTACAAGTGTCCCGTCAAGATGGAGGTGCAGACCCTGGAGGACAAGGCTGTCTTCAAGTACCTCTGAGGAGACAGGAATTGCTGACAGATTTGACTGTTTCAAGACTTGTCATATAGGACTATTTTGGTGAAACTCCTCGCCGTACAGTTACATTGTAAAAAAAAAAAAAAATGTCTATTGATATGTCTTTATCTACAGTGTGTGGAAACCAACTTGAGTGTGTGCCTTGGAGTTGGCTCGTCACAGTAGGAATAGACAGACTACCAGACAGTGTTATCTTAACAGCAGGACACCTGTGTGTATTCAGTCAGGTGAAACGTTAACTTAGTGAAAATAAATGTCATGTATAGAAGTGACAAGTGTCTCTATTCTACATGGCAGACAGTCATCTGTTCAACACAGTACATTTCTCTTTTTAAGGAGAAGTGAGAAAGGTAGGAGAGCGTGTCACAAATAGGCATTGGGTCAGATTTAAACCCAGTCATTGGTAGGTGTGTGCCGTCGGTGGCGGGACTGACAGCCAGACCACAATACATTTCTTTCTGAACATTCTGTAACACTGCACAATAGACATAATACCACATTGCACCCTCCTCAACAGGCCCCATGGTTTTGCCACCTCAGTTCCATTTCCTCTTTGAACTGGATTCCATTCCAGTCATGCTGTCCAATATAACTATTCACAACTTGTAAATCACATGTTGGAGTTATAAATGTGCTTATGACAAACTCAGTGGAATGCTTTTCATTTATTGATTTCTCACGACGCTGTCACATTCACATTGAACAAGGCATTAAAAAGCTGCTTCAGTGCAAAAAGACAAGGCCCACAGATTACATCATCTTCGTCCATATCAAAGGTTAGAGTATGAAAAATTCCCTTAAATATCAGTGATATATTCCTGTCCGTAAGGCCACATTCATTTTTCAAAACGATTTGAAAACAATTCCACATGCATATAACATGTCTGTTCTACATCTAGGAAAATGTCCCTCTTGATTTCTTTTGAAAAATGTGTCATGGCTACTGTAATGGTTAATACTCAGATTGTACAACATTTTGGGAACATTGAGTGATAAATCTTGTTTACACCGACAGTAAACTTCACAGACGACTAAAGTTTACATTCTCTCACAGACTCTTCGCCTGCATCACAATCCATTCTTTCTTCTAAAGTGCACTTGTACACTCCTCCCCATACATTTAAAACCATTGGATCAGTATAGACATGGACTAAAGGGAGTTAATGTCATATAATACCAGTAATTTCCTTTGAAATCCACAAAGGGAAGTCAACAAGTGCACACTAATGGCAGAAAGTACAGCTTATTGCGAGGCAGGCTTGGAGTCACACAAACAGCAAAGATAGGACAAATACCACTTGTCCTCTGGGCTCACATTCTGAAGGAACAGGCTCATTCAGTCTTCACCTCACTCTTTCCCTGTAAAAGTGCTCATAGACTAAAATGTAAAACACAGCTCTCCTCTTCCTTCTGCTCCATACATACAGCGAGTGGCAAACACAGCTCTCCTCTTCCTTCTGCTCCATACATACAGCGAGTGGCAAACACAGGGAAGTCATTCAATTGGGCAAGAAGTAGCTAATTTGCCACCCGCAATGTGAACAAACCATAAAGCAGGGGGAAAGGCAGGTAGGCTAAATGGGATTGATGGTAAAGTTTGCCTTGGGCACAGACCTAGGATCAGTTTAACTTAACCAAATCTTAAAGCATGGAGGGGTAAACCTGAGATCAGTGTCTAGGGACAACTTCATCATACTCAGGTAAACCTTGGGCTAAATTGGGTCAAAACCTCTACATTGCCATTGCAACCTCTTCCTTTCTGGGGTTATGACACTGACTTTTGATTGGCTCTGGCTGGTGAGAAAAAGGTTCTGATTGGATGCCAGACCCTGTACTCAGATAAAGAACATAATCATGATAAAGAGTGCATTCCAGGTACTCATTTTGTGCATATATATTATTATTAGAACATTGATGTGGTTCCTTAAATTCCAATTCACACATGCGTATAATACAATGTGTGAAATAGGACAAATATAAGCACCCACCAAATTATTATTATCTGCACGGAAAATGTGTCTCTGGAACGCACCCAAGGAGTCTATACAGTGCAACATGTCTGCCAACACAATAACTTCATAGTATGTGGATGGGCTGAGGGTAGGTAGAGGGTTAGGGTTAGTCCACCCACAGAGTGAAACATCAGCACGGTTCAGGTAGAACAGTGCTCACTATGCTAATTCTACTCAGACAACTTTGTCCAATCCCAAATCGACCTCTCTATCCCCCGCTCCTAATCACTTGTGTAGATCTGAAAGGAGCAATATGCAACAAGCAATCTGGTGAATATTATTATTATTATTGGCCTCCCGAGTGGCGCAGTGGTCTAAGGCACTGCATAGCTGTGCCACTAGAGATCCTGGTTAGAATCCAGGCTCTGTCATAGCCGGCCGCGACCAGGAGACCAATGGGGCGGCGCACAATTTGTCCAGGGTAGGGGAGGGAATGGCCGGCAGGGTTTGCAACGCCAGGGTTGTGGGTTCGATTCCCACGGGGGGTATGATTTTAAAAAAAAAATTATAATAATGTATGCACTCACTAACTGTAAGTCGCTCTGGATAAGAGCGACTGCTAAATGACAAAAACAATAATATATATATGCCAAATCTATCAAAGTGGACCTTATTTTCACATTCTAAAGGGGATTTTCTTAACATTGGCAGCCATATTGATATGAGCCGTGCTTTGGGAAAACCTCTGATGGTGTCCAACATCGTGGTCACAGATACACCTCCCGACCATCACCTACTGCTTTTGAGGCATTTCGTATGCCATCTCAAAAAAGCGCATTGCCATTTTGTTAATACCTTTCAGATCTACATTTGGCTAGCATATGGATAAGCGGGGTCAATTTGGGATTGGATGTCAGCACTGGGCTATGGTCCCGCCCAGCCTGCAGTGTGATAGGTTATTTCTTGGTGTCGCGGCAGCTGTCGCCCTCGCATGACTGCAGCTTGATCAGCCGTTGGTTCATGGCCTGGAGGAGGGTGGGGTCAACCTTCTTAACGATGTTCTCCAATTGGTGGGGGTCAGAGGTCAAGTTATATACCTCCACAAATGACTGCGGTGAGAGAGAAAAAGCGAGAGAGAGAGAGAGAGAGAGCGGAGAGAGAGAAAACAGAGATTGAGAGGTAAATTACTCATTAAAATCCATAGAAACAAGACAACATACCAAATAAGCTAGGTAGTACAGTCGTGGTCAAACGTTTTGAGAATGACACAAATATTAATTTTCACAAAGTCTGCTGCCTCAGTTTTTATGATGGCAATTTGCATATACTCCAGAATGTTATGAAGAGTGATCAGATGAATTGCAAAGTCCGTTTTTGTCATGAAAATGAACTTAATCCCCAAAAAACATTTCCACTGCATTTCAGCCCTGCCACAAATGGACCAGCTGACATCATGTCAGTGATTCTCTCGTTAACACAGGTAAGTGTGTTGACGAGGACAAGGCTGGAGATCACTCTGTCATGCTGATTGAGTTAGAATAACAGACTGGAAGCTTTAAAAGGAGGGTGGTGCTTGAAATCATTGTTCTTCCTCTGTTAACCATGGTTACCTGCAAGGAAACACATGCCGTCATCATTGCTTTGCACAAAAAGGATAAGTAAGATTGCACCTAAATCAACCATTTATCGGATCATCAAGAACTTCAAGTAGAGAGGTTCAATTGTTGTGAAGAAGGCTTCAGGGCGCCCAAGAAAGTCAGCTGCGGGATCGGGGCACCACCAGTGCAGAGCTTGCTCAGGAATGGCAGCAGGCAGGTGTGAGTGCATCTGCACGCACAGTGTGGCGAAAACGTTTGGAGGATGGCCTGGTGTCAAGAAGGGCAGCGAGGAAGCCACTTCTCTCCAGGAAAAACATCAGGGACAGACTGATATTCTGCAAAAGGTACAGGGATTGGACTGCTGAAGGACTGGGGTAAAGTCATTTTCTCTGATGAATCCCCTTTCCGATTGTTTGGGGCATCCAGAAAAAAGCTTGTCCGGAGAAGACAAGGTGAGCGCTACCATCAGTCCTGTAAGTTGCTCTGGATAAGAGCGTCTGCTAAATGATGTAAATGTAAAATGCCAACAGTAAAGCATCCTGAGACCATTCATGTGTGGGGTTGCTTCTCAGCTAAGGGAGTGGGCTCACTCACAATTTTGCCTAAGAACACAGCCATGAATAAAGAATGGTACCAACACATCCTCCGAGAACAACTTCTCCCAACCATCCAAGAACAGTTTGGTGATGAACAATGCCTTTTCCAGCATGATGGAGCACCTTGCCATAAGGCAAAAGTGATAACTAAGTGGCTCAGGGAACAAAATATCAACATTTTGGGTCCATGGCCAGGAAACTCCCCAGACCTTAATCCCATTGAGAACTTGTGGTCAATCCTCAAGAGGCGGGTGGATAAACAAAACCCCACAAATTCTGACAAACTCCAAGCATTGATTATGCAAGAATGGGCTGCCATCAGTCAGGATGTGGCCCAGAAGTTAATTGACAGCATGCCAGGGCGGATTCCAGTGGTCTTGAAAAAGAAGGGTCAGCACTGCAAATATTGACTCTTTGCATGAATTTAATGTAATTGTCAATAAAAGCCTTTGACACTTATGGAATGCTTCTAATTATACTTCAGTATACCATAGTAACATCTGACAAAAATATCTAAAAACACTGAAGCAGCAAACTTTGTGGAGACCAATACTTGTGTCATTCTCAAAACTTTTGACCACGACTGTACACTTCCAAAGTTAATTTAAAACTGTACATAAACAGAGCCATATACAGTCTGTACATATATGGCTCTGCATAAAATTACTAACACAGACAAAACAGCTACTATAAGTCATAAAAACATGACAAATGCACATGCCCGCCCACACACCTCACTGTCTGCAAACTCGCAGTACTGCAGGTTGTGTTCGACCAGGGTCCTAACACAGGCATAGGTGTTGTTGTAGGCGTCCTCACACACACAGTCTGGGAAACATTGCTGGAGAGGAGAAGACAGAGAGACATTTTGTAATCCTCCAAGACAGAGATGCACTTCAGTGGGACTATTGCCTCGACTACAGTAATACTGTACTAAAAAGAGTCAGGCCAATGATGGTGGAGGTAAGAGTAATGGTGATGGAGGATACGGGTAGGGGAACAGGTGAATTATAATAGTTCATTGTAAGTGGTAATAAGGGTGGTGTAAAGGGGTAACTCACCGACACACCAGGGCCCAGTTTAGGGCAGGCGGGGTCGGGGTCAAGGTGTCCCTCTCCTGTGTACTCTACCAGGAAGTAGGGGCGAGCTGTACCGTTACGCAGCTCAGGGGCCTACAAAGAGACAGAGTCAGATGGACAGACAGACACAGACGATAAATGGACAGAGAGAACAATAAGTAGCCTAATTGACCATCGGAGAGGAAGGACGTCCGTCCAAACACTCCCAGATAAAAGACAGAGGAAGAAATAGACAGACATCTAGCTCACCATCTGAGAGAGGAAGGACTGTCCGTCCATATTGACGAAGGAGAGGTTGAGCCCTGAGATGTCTAGAAAAGTGGGAGCCAGGTCTATGTTCAACACCGGGGCCTGGAGGAAGACACACACATAGATAAGTATGGATGGAAAAGTGGAATGAAAGCATGGATGGGTGGTTGATGGATAATAACTGGATTGATAGATTGATTAATCAATGGAGCCAGGGACTCACCAGGAGTGTCTGTTTAGGTTTGATGCCTGGCCCACGCACCATGAGAGGGATCCTGATATCAAACTCATACAATTGTCTCTTATCAATGGGCAGAGAGAATTGACCTGGGAGAGAGAGAACACAAGGCACAGAATACCTTACTATAGAACACTTCTGTTGAAAGTGGTGACATATCCTGATACAGAAAACTGGGGATTTCATTACGTTTCCCAAACGTAGCTTTTAATAATCTGACAAATGTGAAGGTGATACTAGGGGTCTGTTTGTTGTGAAGTCGAGCTGTGAAGTTGAACTGTTACATCAACCACAGGAAGGAGGTCACTGCAGGTGTGAAACAAACAGATACCAAATATAGACAGGCAGATAGAGACTCATACACCCACACTTACCGGTGTGGTAGCCGTTGTCAGAAGTGTAGAAGATGTAGGTGTTGTTGAGCTCCTTCAGCTCTTCTAGTTTCTTGACCAGCGCCTCCACCATGTCGTCCACTGACAGCAGGGTCTGCCACCTGCAGGACGGGAGGGGAATTACAACCATTACATGAAAATAATGTTAGTATTTTGCTACAATTGTATCCAGGTGACTATTATGAGGTTTATTGTGATGGAGAAGAGTGATTGAGAAGAAAAGTTTATAGGGATGATTTGATTGGCTGTTGTACCTTTTCCTGTAGGCGCTATCCAGGAAGTTCAGGGAGGTGCTGGGCATGGGGTTGCTAGGCTGGCGCAACAACCAGTGTTTATCCTTCCCAGGTTTGTCAAAGCTACCATCCCGGGGGGCTTTGACATCTGCAAAGTTTTTCTCGTACTGAGGGGCGGCGGTCCAGGGGGAGTGAGGGGCGGGAGGGGACAACATGATGAAGAACGGACGCTGGGGACTCCTGTCATCCAGGAAATGGAGAGATCTGTTCAACTGGAGAGACGAAGGAGAGAGGGAGTGGAAAGAGATAATATTATAGAAAGAGTAAAGTTTAAATCAGGTGCTTTAATCAAATCCTTATAATCACAACACAGCCAGATGAGCTTTTGTTATATGAAAAACTAAACTAAAACCTGTAACTTATAGCAGTTAGAACCCAAACAAGACTGGGGAAATATATTTTTGGAACATCGAGACAAAACTCTTCTCAGGCATTCAGAGACAATAGGGTGTTTGAGTGGTGGCGGGATAAAACAAAACCAGACCGTAATTAACTGGAGGAGTTGGAACGAAGACAAGTGGTGAGTTGCGCAACACATCTGTGAAATATTACAGGCTTAGTTCTGGTCCTAGTACTGGTTCAGATGGCTCAGTGTGTTGGAGCATGGTGCTGGCAAAACAACATTATGCTTCATAAATGTATGTTAACACTAAATAGCTACTAAATGAACATCTCTGCTAAATATCCATACAGTCCTGCATTGTCTTGCTGTGTGCTTAGGGTCATTGTCCTGTTGGAAGGTGAACCTTCGCCCAAGTCTGAGGTCCTGAGCGCTCTGGAGCAGGTTCTTCAAGGATCTCTCTGTACTTTGCTCCATTCATCTTTGCCTCGATCCCGACTAGCCTCCCAGTCGCTGCCGCTGAAAAACATCCCCACAGCATGATGCTCCCACACATTGCTTCACTGTAGGGATTGTGCCAGGTTTCCACCAGATGTGACGCATGGCATTCAGGCCAAAGAGTTCAATCTTGGTTTCATCAGACCAGAGAATCTTGTTTCTCATGGTCTGAGAGTCCTTTAGGTGCCTTTTGGCAAACTGCAAGCGGGCTGTCATATGCCTTTTACTGAGGAGTGGCTTCCGTCTGGCCACTCTACCATAAAGGCCTGATTGGTGGAGTGCTGCAGAGATGGTTGTCCTTCTGGAAGGTTCTCCCATCTCCAGAGAGGAACTCTGGAGCTCTGTCAGAGTGACCATCAGGCTCTTGGTCACCTCTCTGATCAAGGCCCTTCTCCCCCGATTGCTCAGTTTGGCCGGGCGGCTAGCTCTAGGAAGAGTCTTGCTGGTTCCAAATGTCTTCCATTTAAGAATGAGGGAGGCCACTGTGTTCTTGGGGACCTTCAATGCTGCAGACATTTTTTACTACCCTTCCTCAGATCTGTGCCTCGACACAATCCTGTCTCGGAGCTCTACGGACAATTCCTTCGACCTCATGGCTTGGTTTTTGCTCTGACATGCACTGTCAACTGTGGGACCTTATATAGACAGGTGTGTGCCTTTCCAAATCATGTCCAATCAATTGAATTTACCACAGGTGGACTCCAATCAAGTTGTAGAAACATCAAGGATGATCAATGGAAACAGGATGCACCTGAGCTCAATTTCAAGTCTCATAGCAAAGGGTCTGAATACTTATGTAAATAAGGTATCTCTGTTTCCGACTTGTCATGCAGCATATGGATTTTTTTAAATAACAGACTGGGTTGTTGACATGTAAACTATATTTCATCTCCAATGGTTATTGAAAAGATAAATACATCTGCACAATGATCACTTGATGTCTCAAACACACTGTTACAGTTGTTGGTTAGCTAGCACATTTTTGCATTATTAGCATTGACATGAAATCAGTAAAAACACCTCCAAACAAGACATGGTACAGTGAGGGAAAAAAGTATTTGATCCCCTGCTGATTTTGTACGTTTGCCCACTGACAAAGACATGATCAGTCTATAATTTTAATGGTAGGTTAATTTGAACAGTGAGAGACAGAAGAACATAAACAAAATCCAGAAAAACGCATGTCAAAATTGTTTTAATGAGGGAAATAAGTATTTGACCCCCTCTCAATCAGAAAGATTCCCCACATGGCAGTTGTTTGTCAATGTTGGTAACTATCTGGCCACCCAGAATCACAACAACTCACAGACTTCTTCCCCATTTAAGCGTGTGCATCATTTGTGACATTGTCAGCTAACCCATCTACATACTACCAAACTCTTACATACAAGTTCAAAATCCATTCATTGACATTTGTAAGTAACAGGCGTTTTACATACATAAACGCAGTTAAACTGACACAAACTGTAAACAGAGAACATGAGCTTTAAAGTAAAGTAGCAGTGGAGCTGATTCACCATGGGTTAAGATAATGTTTCACCCTCTCAAAGTGCAAGCCAAGCAGAACATTTACCAAGTTGCATAACCAGGGGTGGGATATACATGCAGACACACATAGGTAAGGAGAATACTGCTGATAGAATAATCACTCATTAACCACACACAATATGCAAAATAAAGAAACTGCATTTTTTGCAATTTTGGTACGGGTGAGGTAACTGCTCCAGATAGCTACCTTTTCATTGGCAAGATTAGTAAATTTAGGCATGACATGCCAACAACTAATTCTGAACCTACATGCATAACTGACCCAATTATGAAAGACAAGCATTGTAATTTTGAATTCCGTAAAGTGAGTATGGAAGAGGTGATTTTTTTTTTGTCTATCAACAATGGCAAGCAACCTGGGTCTGACAACTTGGATGGAAAATGACTGAAGATGATAGCGGACTGTATTACCACTCCTATTTGCAATCTCTTTAATCTAAGCCTACAGGAAAGTGTGTGCCCTCAGACCTGGAGGGAAGCAAAAGTCATTCCACTACCCAAGAATAGCAAAGCACCCTTTACTGGCTCAAACAGCTGACCAATCAGCCTGTTACAAACCCTTAGTAAACTTTTGGAAAATATTGGTTTGACCAGATACAATGCTATTTCACAGTAAAGAAACTAACAACAGATTTTCAGCACGCTTATAGGGAAGGGCACTCAACATGTATGGCACTTACACTAATGACTGATGATTGGCTGAAGGAAATTGATTGTGGGAGCTGTTTAGTTAGACTTCAGTGCAGCTTTTGACATTATTGATCATAATCTGCTGCTGATAAGACGTTACATCTGCTGCTATATTGTGTTACCCATCTAACAGAACACAGAGGGTGTTTTTTAATGGAAGCCTCTCCAACACAATCTAGGTAGTCAGGCATCCTTTTTATCCACGCCAAACAACACCCACGAGAAACCTAGCAACATAATCTAGGTAGAGTCAGGCATCCTTTTTATCCACACCAAACTTGGTGCAAAACAACACCCACGAGAAACCTAGCAACATTCAAAGCTGCACAGATAGAGTTTGGTTGTTCCCTTGTGAGAAGTAAAGGCACGCGAGAGAAGGAAGAATGCGAGAGACGGAATCCCCACCAAAACAAAACATTGCCATCAATACCTTGCATTTTCCCGAATTAAAAACATATCTAATAAAGGGGGTCAATGTAAATAGTCAGTGTAGCCATTTCATTAACTGTTCAATAAGCTGGTCCTAAATGTTTCAAAAAACTAAAAGCATTGTATTTGGGACAAATCATTCACTAAACTATAAACCTCAACTAAATCTTGTAATGAATAATGTGGAAATGGAGTAAATTGGAGGAGACTATACTGCTTGGTGTAACCCTGGATTGGAAATGGTCATGGTCAAAACATATTGATGCAACGGTAGCTAAAATGGGGAGAGGTCTGTCCATAATAAAGTCCTGCTCTGCTTTCTTGACAACGCTATCAACAAAACAAGTCCTACAGGTCCTAGTTTTGTCACACCTGGACTACTGCCCGGTCATATGATCAAGTGCCATAAAGAGGGACATAGGCAAATTACAGTTGGCCTAGAACAGAGCAGCAAAGAACTCTATTCCACATCAAGTAACTCATGCAAGCAGTAAAATCAGATTAGTTGTTTTTTTTAAACCGATACAAATACACCTTATGGAACAACGTGGACTGTGAAGAGACACAGTCACTCTACACACGTACATTGTAATATTGCTACATTATGGATTTTTTATGGCGGCAGGTAGCTTAGTGGTTAAGAGCGTAGTGCCAGTAACCGAAAGGTCGCTGGTTCTAATCCCTGAGCCGACTAGGTGAAAAATCTGTCGATGTGCCATTGAGCAAGGCACTTAACCCTAATTGCTCCTGTAAGTCGCTCTGGATAAGAGCGTCTGCTAAATGACTAAAATGTAAATGTATTGTAGATATGTTGTGGTAGAGTAGTGTGTAATAACGTGATGTACTGTTTTATATGTAATTGCCTAATGGGATCCGTAATAAAATACACACAAAAAATAAGGCACAGTGGGGTATGGTACAGGTAAGATACAGGTAAGGTAACGTACAGGTAAGGTAAGGTAAGGTACAGGTAAGGTACACGTAGGTTGTCGTGATGTTTTTTAAAGTATTTAACTGTATAAAGCTAAAGGTTAATTTTCACACTATGGACAACGTTTTTCTTTCCTAACAGGCTGTGGCAACCATCTGTTGCTCATTAGGGGTAAAGGGGATACTTAGTCAGTTGCACAACTGAATGCATTCAACCGAAATGTGTCTTCCGCATTTAACCTCTCTGAATCAGAGAGGTGCGGGGGGTTGCCTTAATTGACGTCCATGTCATTGGCGCCCAGGGAGCAGTTTCTGTTGGGGGTTAACTGCCTTGCCTTGCGCCACTTTGCCGGCTCGGAGATTCGAACCAGCGACCTTCCTAAGCTATGCTACCTGCCGAGTTCGGGTAGGCGAATCGAACGAGTGTGCTTGCATACCAGTGGAGACTGCTGAGGGGAGGATGGCTCATAATAATGGCTGGAACAGAGCGCATTAAAACACATGGAAACTATGTCTTTGATATATTTGATACCATTTCACTAATGCCGCTTCCGCCATTACCATAACCCCGTCCTCCCCAATTAAGGTGCCACCAACCTCCTGTGTTGCATACACCCTTACATAGTTCAGAATACACAAGATCAAGCACACACAAAATAATATTATTTATTTTGAAAGACATCTTTCATTGACAAGCTATAAGTGAATTATTGATGCCCAGAGCTGGAAACAAATCAGATGGCTTCTACAACATGTGAACAATAGTAGAATAAAAAA